AGATTTTCTGAGTTCTGCTATACTGTTATAAAATTTTTTGTAATAATTTTTTTTTATAAATATTGCTATAAATACAGAAAGAATAAAAAAAATTTAAAATTTATATGAGGATGTCTTTAATCCCTCAAAACGACACTGGTGACAGCGCACTAAACCACTGAACTACCAATGATATGCGTTTACAAGAAAAATAAACCTAATAATAAATCTCTTATAAGCTCTTGGTATTCTGAAAGGGTACACTTGTTAAGTTTTTTGCTCTTAAAGCAATTTTTTAAATGAATTATTTTTAATAAAAAATAAGGTATGTTATGATGGGTATCGTTGTAAAAAATAAGGTATGTTATGATGGGTATCGTAAGTTATGATGGGTATCGCGTTAAATAAGTAGATGGCTTGCGAAGACATATCACGCTATGTCTTCGCAAGCGTCACGCATGCGTAGACACAGCGTGATGTTTTATACTTCGATGATGTTAAATCATCGAAGTATAAAACAGATCGAAGTTCATCGAGCCGCAAACTTCAAAATAATTTCAAGTTGTCGCGGGAAAATGCTTTAAACAGACAATAAAAAAAACACAAGTTTCACTAGACAAAAAAACAACAAAATTCACTGAAATGATTTTTAATTAAACATCAAAAAATAATTTGTTCTAAGGATATGCTGCAAAGTTTTAACAATTAGTAATTGCAGTTATTAAGCAAAAGGTTTACTAAAATTCGTTAATTAAATAAAACTTTTTAGAGAGTTTCTTTTCTTGCTTCAAGTCATAACACGACACTTGACGTTGTCGAAAAGACAACGAAAACAATTTTTGAAAAATCAAAAAAATTGTTTTCTAAAGAACTAAAGTTTAAAGTTTCATTAGCTATATATTATATTTCCATTTATTCTTGTAGTACTCCATTCATTTAACATGAAGTTTAAAAAAGAAGTTGTTGTTTGCCGTTTTGTTGCTCCATTTGTAATGCTTTTCTTAAATATTATTTGCGAACCTTCAAATTACTATGTTTTTGAATTATAATAAACGTACCAATTTGCGTCAACGTATAAATATTAGGCGTTTATGTACAGTTTTAATGTCGTTTTCTTAATGTTTACAAAACAAAAGATTTCAATCATAGTCCCGAAAAATTCCAATGCGGCAATGATATATTAGGTCGGATGTGAGGAATTATTAAACGTTTCCCAGTGACACTAATGAATTCACTTGTTTGTTTATAGTTTTTTTATATGCATATGACTGCGAATCTATTATTTACAAGTATCATCCATTTTTTATATAAAATTCAAAACCACAAAATATTATATTATTAACTTTAAAATTGCGTCGGCGTAATTTTCCAATATCTTTAAGAAGACCGCATCATTACTAATATATTAATGTTTATATTAAGATACAACAGCTTATTTTTGCTACTTATCTTGGAAGAAGTAATCTACAACAAACTCCCCCAGTTAAAGGTGAGACTTCTGCTTTAATCATCCATCTCGTCTTCTATGATTCAACTGATTTTTTGTCTTGCATCTAATTTCGCCCGTCTCAATACTCTTTTTAGGGTTTCAACTTTTTTATCAATTTCCACGTTCTTTTTAGATTAAATCAATCTCTCTGCCTCAAAATTGATTTCCAGGTCACACATCAGTTGAATTGGTCTTTCAATTACATAACCGTTCCCCAATCGTATTTTTAAGCCACGCATAACTCCATCTTTTCCTTTGATTTTGCTTTCAACTCGTCCAATACTTAGAAGTGCTTTGTTTTTTACATCCTCTTAATAAGAACCACGCTTCCAACAACTAGCAGTTTTAAGTTACTTTCCTTATTTCTTACTTGCTGTCGTTCTTCCATTGCATGTACACATTCGTTCATCCATCTTATTCTCAGATGGGTTTTACAGTTTTTCCAAAACGTGGCTCTCCGTATTGCACATTCCCTTTTTGCAATTAAAGAAATATCTTTTTCAAGCAATATTGCAGGTTTTCCCCTCACTAACACGTTTGGTGTCAGTATTTGATTGTAGAAAGGTCACCTTGGTAACAAAGTGATTGAGCACTCAATATCCAACAATACTTCCTCTAATTAATTGAAACTAAGCATCCCTTTACCGATAGTTTTAGATAGCTTTTCTTCATTATTCTAATCAAATTTTCAAACAAACCTTCCCACCAAGGGGCTCTTGATAGATTAAATCTCCATTTTATAGCTTGTGTAGCAAGATAGTCGGCAATACTCTTGTTGTTTTTAAGTGTAAGTAACCACTTTTCTGTTGCCACTAATGTTTTCGCATTGTCACTGATTGTCATCTGAGGTGGTCCTTTCCTCGCAATAAAATCTTTAAAACCCTCTGAAATTCTACTGCTGATAGGTCATGACAAAGTTTAAGATAGACGGCTCTTATGCTTGCGCATGTAAACAGTGCAACGTAGCATTTTCTAATCAAGTTTTTGGCACCTTACACTTTAACGGTCCGGCAATATCAACACCATTAACCGCAAATGGTTCAACATTGTCAGTTCAAAAGCGCGGTAACAATGCTTTTGTTGGTGGTAACAGAGCTTTCACTCTGTACTTTTTACACAAATTGAAACCATAAATAATATTTTTAACGGCTACTCTCAAATTCGGTATCCAGAATCTTTATCTTATGCTGCCCTTTGTATCTCTGAGTCCTCTGTATAAGGTTTTTGTGTGATGGTGATCAATATTTCGTAGAGTTAGTAAGAACCCTTTTGGTATAAATATTGGGTTATACCCGGTTACTCTTCCATGACACCTCCAAAGATTCCTTTTATCCTGTTTAAGTTCTACATCGGCTTTTAGCACAACAGATCCTTGTAGATGTTTAATATTGACTGTTTTGTCTTCTATTATCTCTTCCATTTTTATTGGTCCAACTATTTCTTCTTTATTGCGACAATTGTAAATAAACCTTTTTATAAACGATGATATCCTTAAAATATTGCAATAATTATATTTATTCCATAATTCTTCAAAAATGCGATTTTCCTTTTAAGAGTAATACTTTCGCACAATGTGCCATTTGAGTTATCAAATATTCCCAATTGATTTGGCTAGTTTTCTTTTAGATTTAACCATATTGGACCATTGAACCACAAGCTTGACAACTTTTTAGCTCATTGTAACTTTTTCAAAGTAAAAAAGTTTCCCATAAACTGTAGTTTTAAAGAGCGCGTTAATAAACCAGACCAGAAAAAGTTTTAAAAACTTTTTTTATTTTAATTGATAGACTGCCTGGCCAAACCAAACCCTCAGTCGATGTAGCAGCATTCCCTTGCGAGTCAGGCTATTTGTCAGTCGATGTAGCAGCACTCCGTTGCGAGTCAGGCTATTTGTCAGTCGATGTAGCAGCACTCCGTTGCGAGTCAGGCTATTTGTCAGTCAATGTAGCAGCACTTTGTTGCGAGTCAGGCTATAAGATAGTCGATGTAGCAACATTTACGCATGTTTTAAAAATAAATGTTTTTTATTAAATCAATAACAAAAACACCACTAATTAAAAAAAACTTTCTAGTCGTTATATTTGCGGTTTTTTAAAAATTTTTAAAAAAACAATTAAATTTAATGTATTTCCGCATAAATTAATTGCTTTGACATTTCGATGACAATCAAAAACAGCTTAAGAGACGAGGTAATTAAAATTGTAGTCTTAAGAGACTTTTTTTACATTAAAACGCTCTTTCGACTACACTATATGGGTATATATATATATATATATATATATATATATATATATATATATATATATATATATATATATATATATATATATATATATATATATATATATATATATATATATATATATATATATATATATATATATATATATATATATATATATATATATATATTAAAAACAAGGTGGCAACTGTAAATTAAAAACTAAGCAAATATCTTTTGAAACAATAAATTGCTGCGTTTTGTTTCGTCAATCTTTCTCAAATTTACGGTTTAGTTCCAAGATGCAACAGTTTATTAAAACTTTTTCCAGCCTTATTATAAAATAAATACAACAAGACATTGAGTTGAATAATTTTGAATGATATGAGCCAATAACTATATCAAAACGATGAAATAAATTTAGATATATATAAAATTACATCGAAGGCGTAAAAGCTCACGTGATGGGAGGTTTAATCTTCTTAGTCTTTTGCAGTACTGAAAATGTCAGGAGCTGGAAAACCATTTTGCTGCTTTGCGTTGAACAGATTTAATCAAGACTCAGTTTTAAAATAAAGAGCCTATGTAGAAACTGTATATTCAAGGTTTGGCCTTATAAACACTTTATACAACTTAAGAGCCATATTTTCATCAATAAAACTAAAGTCTTTTTTAAGCATTGCAAAAAACAGATATAGATTTGAAGACAACTGTTTGAATATGTGTTCTCCCCTTAAGATTAGATATAAAAATGTCTTTTAAATTAGGCTCTATAGTAGACCTTGATTTATACCTGTTAATTTCGTAGAAAGTATGTGTAATGCGGGTTTAGTTTAACGATAGTGTGAAATACAGCATTTTCAAATGTTTTATTTTACCCTGTAATCTTTAAGTAGTTAAGTATTTATTGCGTAGTAACTAAGTAATTAATTGCTCGTATACCGAAATCCTTTATATTGAACATTTATGTTCTTATTACAATATACTATGGCATAAATATCGTTGTAATAAAATAAAAAAGTAAAAATATATGAAGAAATAAAAAATAAAAATAATTCAGATGTGCTAAAAGTTGTTGAAAAAATAATTTTTAAGTTTTAATACTAACTTGTAATTTTCAACAAAATAAATGAAATAAAATAGTTTTGTCAAATTATAAATGACATAAGTTTTAATCTATATTTTACTTTTATACTTACAGCCTCTTCTATTTTATTGAGGGTTAAGGATAATATTTTACTTACAGCGTGTTCAAAAGTTTACGAAGGTATAAATGTTATTATGTTAAAATAAAGAAGACAAAAAACTTACTTTTTTCACATTTAATAATGACATCTTTACGTTCACAAAAAAATAGAACAGATTTTAAGTCGTTCCATGTTTTATCTGGGTTGTATCTACACCAACTATTCAACATTTCATAACTTCGTTCTCGAGCTGTTTTGTACTCACGCGTAATTCTTTTTATTTCTTTCTTGCTGATGCACCAAAAACGAGCAAGTTTTATCCAATCATTTTGCAACTCGTTTGCAAATGTATTGATTACATCTCTTGAAAGTTTTTCAACTAAAAGAAAGAAAAGCTTTTGAAACAATAATTAAAAAAAAAAACGATTTAGCGTTGAAGTTAAAAGTTACCTTTTAAATATTCAAATTCATACTCATAGTTTTCTTTTTGATTTAATTCAAGCTTGTTTTTTACATCTGTAAAAGCTATAAATAACAATAATAATAAAACAAGCGGGGTATAAGTGGAAACTAACTTTAACTGGGTGTAAGCAGGAACTAATTAAACTAAAAACGTCAATAATTACAGGTTGTCGTTCTTAAATCTTTTAAAGTACTAATGGAAAGCTAGTAAACGCCTTATTATTATTTTTATTAGCCGTTAAAGAATGTTTAAAATGCCTATACAAATAATAAAAAAATGCGGCTAATTTCCGAGTCCCTTTTTTATTATAATTATCATTATCACTATCATATTATAGATTGAACAACTTTATATTAATGCCTATTCGTACGCGTTTGTACAGAACTTTTGGCAACCAATAAATCCGAGTTCATGGCAAAAAAGAGACATTCTCAGCACTTCTTTAATAAGAAATTGTGGCTAAATCTAACATATGTAAATTGAAAACTATGTCATCAAGGCTACTGAAAGTTTTACTGAAAAAGCATTAGTTTATTAATCTGATTGCGGAATTATATATATATATATATATATATATATATATATATATATATATATATATATATATATATATATATATATATATATATATATATATATATAATATATATATATATATATATATATATATATATATATATATATATATATATATATATATATATATATATTTATATATATGTATATATATATATATATATATATATATATATATATATATATATATATATATATACATATATATATATATATATATACATATATATATACTGTATATGTATATATATATATATATAAGATCCTGTCACTGAGAACCATGTAACAATGCAGTAAAAATATAACCAGTTAAATAAGTACAATAAATGACGTTTAGAAATAAAATTTAAATCTAACCAGATATTTGAAAACATAAAATAACATTTAACAACATAAAGATTATATATAAAACTAAATATTTCAAAATAAAACAATATATTCAGGAAACCCACACTTTTTTAAAAGGTATAAACTCAAAAGAACTTAAAGATATTATCAATTGACAAAATAACTTTTTTCAGCTTAAATTTAAAAGTAAGAAAACTCCAACTTTGAGAAAAGTCAAAATTTTTCAAAACTATTTTGTTCCACAGAAGAGTGCGATATGTTAAAGGAGATCTTTCAAAACTTGTATGAGAATAATGTTGATGAATAAGATTATCATTTCTTAAGACATATTTGTTTTTTTGTTTTATTGCATATAAATTTTGAAACGATATAGGGGTTAGGTTTATAATACCTTATATATTAGGAACCAAAAACAACTTAGACAAAAATGCTCATATATGTCCAAAACAACAAATGTAAAAAGAATTTAATGCTGAATCAGCATTGCTGATGACCCTTTGAAGAAAAAAAATTTTGAAAAAGGTGCAAGGTCTCTACATGTTTGGATGACATTTATTTACTGTCTATCTCTCTTGAGGGAAAAAGCTTCACAAATAGTTTACTAAACTAATCAATAATTCAAAAATAGTCAATGAAAAATTACTACAAATGTAGCAGAAATATTTGTAAAGAAATATTTCTAAAGAAATATTTTTAAAGAAATATTAGAAAAATTCTTGTCGAATTTAAAACAATATAAAGACCAATTTAAGACACTGCAATCAGGTAATGTAAAAATTCTGAAATTATAAAAAACTAGGTGAGATCGGCCCCGTATAAACACGGGTCTTTGTATTCTTATTCCAAACCGAACTTTGCTATACTTTTTCCTTATATATCCTAGTTTTCCGGTCAAGGTCTTTACCAATTTATATATCTACTTCTAGGCGAATATTTCTATACCTATTCCTTATTTGCTTTCATTTTTTTTAGTAAAATAATTTATTCTGAAAAAAAAAATTATGAGCAAAAAACTGAATATATAAAACTTTTTGCGCATACGTAGAGCTTATAAGAGGTTTATAAATAGGTTTGTTTTTCTGCTAAATGCATTTTATTGATAGCGCAGTGGTTAATTGCGCTGTGTGTGTTGTTTTGGAGGGTTTAAAACCTCCTCTTAGCGTAATAAATTTTTAAAATTTTTCAATCTTGCTTATATATTCAAAGCAAAAAAATAAGAATATAGAAAAAAAGATTTCTAAAAGTCAAAATAAAATTTTTAAGTTTTCTTATTTTATAGATATACGCGATTATTCCATAAAATGCATGCAAACTCAACATAAAAACGTTTACACTTACATAAATTTGTACGTAACGCTATACAAACGAAATTAGTACAGATATATCATTTTTACGGATAAGAGATTGTATTTATTACAATAGTAATAAATAAATAGTTTTGGGGCTATCCATAAAGGACGTCATCATTTTTTAGCTATTTGGATGACGTCCTTTTGTCTTTATTAGAATATATCCCATAAAAATGTTTTCCATATATCTTTAATAGATAGAGTTTTTATAAAAAATTGAAATAAAATCTTATTTCTATGACTATCATTTTTAAAGGTCTTAAGAAGCAGATGACATAACTATAGAAATCAGAAATCTTCGAGAGAGTAGAAAATCTAAAGTTTATGTATCAAATTTTCCATTTGGAAGTGACAATATTTTTTGTGTTTTTAATCTTGTCAATTTTTTTAAATATAATAACATAACTACAAAAATTTTTACAACTGTTTAAATTTTTACAACTGCATATTAATTACAAAATTTTTTTCGCACTGCGAAAACATAAACAAAATAAACTTTAATTAAATATGCTATGACTTGATAAGGGTTTTGACTGTTGTAGGGAACTCGTAGAAGACTGAGTTTAGTCTTATCATCAAGAACATTAAAAATCGCTGATATTCATTTTGCAAATGCTACTTTCAAAATTTAACTATTCGTAAGTTACAGGGTTATTTATTCTTATAAGCGCGTCTATTAATTTTATATGCGCCTTTATTCATTCTTATATGCGCATTTATTCATTTTTATACGTGGTTTACAAAAGTAATTGTAAAAAAGCTATTTGAACAAAAAAAAATCATTTAATAAGATCATTAAAAAAACAGTTTATTTCAAAGCAAATTTTTCTTATTTCCTGGTAAACGAGTTTAAAAATCCTTAAGACGAAGACTTTTTACATTCGATGATGGTTTATTTAAGGTGGTACTAAATTTTTTAAAGTTGAAAAGCTGCAAGTGAAATAATATCTGTTTATGTTTTTAATCATCGTTTATTTGATTTAGTTACATGGTTTTTTATCTTTTTTTTTTAGCTTTGTTATAGTTAACTTAATTGGTTTTTTATTTGTTATTATTTTCTTTTTTTATTCAAGTTATTTAACTATAATGTTCATTATTAAAAAACAAAAACAATGAAAAAAAAATTAGGCTTAGTTACACTTTTTTGTTATTATTGTTTTTTTATTCTTTATAGTTGTAATAATAATTAATATTAAAAAAAGAGTCGAGCTATGTTAGAAAGAAAGTCTGGCCACTCAAAAGCATTTTCTAAACGGACATTTAAAGGTAACCAACACACACAAAAAAAAACACAAGAAGAACCAATTGAGATTCCTCCTTCTAACTTACCTATTTCTTCAAATAAATCTGTCATATTTATCATCAGATACAACATTACCTTTTATAATCACTAATCAAACCAGACCAATAAAGTTTGCATCATCTTCATTCACCAATGACACCAGTTTGTTTACTTGTGTAAATTCTTCAAACCCAACTGTATATTATCGATTTTTATACTTTTTTCTATTGACATTTTTATGGAAATTATTTATTTAGTTGTAACATGCCCTGAATGTGACAAAAAGACGATGAGTCGAACATTTAACGTCTTGAGAAAGCAAGGCTTGTCTATACCATTATTGTTACAATGTTCAAGTTGTTGTTAGTGTACAACCTTTCATTCAAGTAAAGAATGTAAATGCAAAAGCAGTCGTGGTAGACTTGTTTGAGGTTTATGTTCGTTTTGTTTTTGATATGAGAGAAATTGGAAAAAGTTATACCAGTTTAGAAAAACTCTGTGGATGAAAAAAGTAATTAGAACAGTGCTTTTCCATTGCTCTTAAGCAAAATATATTATTAGAATATAGAAGGCATCAAATGTGCTCACGTACTCTTTATAGTTGGTGTAAATATCAGGCTGACAAAATAAATGGCATAGCAACATGCAAACATAAGGGAGGAATTACCAATTGTTGTCCTTGAAGAAATAAAGCCTGTTTTTTTTAAGTTTAAGTGATGACAATTTATAAAAAAATATCTTTATGGCAAAACTCAAAATAACTAATAAATAAATGAGTCACTAAATGGAATGATTTGGAAACGGTTTCAAAAAGATATCTACGTTTGTAAAACCACTGTTGACCTAGGTGTAGCTTCTGCAGTTATAAATTTTAATGATAGTTCAACTGGAACTCTAAAAGTTTTAAAAGGCATAGGTATTCCAGGATTTTATGCAAACAGTTTTTTGTTTCAAATAACAACCAAAGAGTAATGTCAATGGAAAGGAAATCGAAAAAAGCATATTTAAAGGGTTCATAAAAGGTTTCACAAATACTAATAAATGTAGAAGAAATGAAGTATGGTTATGGTTTATATTAGAGAGATTTTTATTATTTTTTATTTACGGTTATCAATCATGAAAATCTTTTTGTTTTTGAATATTTGAAAGAAATTTAGTGATATTTTAGTATATTATTACTTAAATTGCATTTATCTAAAAATTGAATTTTTTGAACGGTGCGTCATATAACTTTTGATTTATTTGAGCTTTACTCTTGAAATTTTATATGGTGGTTATTTTTTATAAGATACAGGTTTAGAACCAACATTTTTTGAAAAAATATTTTTCGGTCCAGAGTTACCCAAGCCCAAAGTTTTATTTTTAAGCTTTTTTATAAGCAAGGTATTTGAATTTTAATTACCTTAGATCTAGTTATGTAATCAGGCTAATTCTGCTCCCATACCTGTAAAATTGTACTATAAACAAACTGTAAAAATTTTGTTATCATTCTACAGGTGGTTTTTTC